TTATTGTTAGAATGCAGGACTTGTGACTCGGAGGCCCTAAGTTCAAGTTCGCCCTGACCGCTAGCTGGATTTATTCACGGTAGTCCCGAGTTCAAATCCTCGACCCTGCTTGTAAATAGCCAACTGGTTTGCCTCCGGCTAGTTGGGATTTTTAGCCCCGTTATGTTTGAAAAAATTTGAATTATTTAAGTCATTTGCTCGGCCTTGCTAGCATAAGTGCTATAAATACTGCAAAGGGTTAATAAAGGAATAAATTAATTAATTAATTAAACCAGAGAGTATGAAATTAAACCACAATATATACGTCCCCTTCTAGATGGATAGACTAACAGATCAGGATAACTGTGACAAACAGGGAAAGACCATAACAGCTATGTTTGGATGTGTGGTGAGGCTTGAAATTAAAGGTTGTGATTTTTACTGTGATGGTAGCGGCTATGGAGGAGACAGAGATGTCATTCATCAAGGTTAGTTTTCCTCTATAAAAACGTTTCAGGACCAAACTCAAACAAAATCACAACTTTTTTGAGTAGGTGGCAAAATAGGAAAGGTAGCCGGATAGTTCAGACGCAACCTATAGAATACAAGGCTGACATAGCATAGCTGGCGGAATTAGCGGTGGAGTGCGACTGTTTTTGTTGTTGTTGTTGTTTTTTGGCGCGTTACCTCGAGAAGTTCGTGAGCAAGTAGAAGGATTTTGTTTGCGGCTACGCCGCCGAGAAATTACATTTAATGTACCCTGCGCATTTAGAAAACATCCCACGTATAACAATCCCGCCAGCTACGCAGGCTAATGAAGGCCGACACTGTAGGAACAAACTAGCATACAAAACCTAAAGAAGACGAGGCTTACATTATACGAATAAACTTTAGAAGTTCGAAGTTAATTTAACAAAGAGAATGCCACCATCGTACGATCGAGATAAATTGTAAAGAAGACAAGACTTACATCGTATACGAACAAAGCAAGAAAAGCTAAAGAAGGCAAGATGTGTGAGAAAGATAAAGCTTTTAACTCTAAGAATTACCGGTATAACAAAACTAGCGTCAGAGAAGTGTTAAAAAAGCAAAAAAGTGAGAATGGATTGATCTAAGGAAAAACATTACGTTCCTATTGACCTCTCGGTACATAAAAACGCATAAATAAAACTTGACCAAAATCCGTCCATCTTGACCTCACGTTATGTCAATCACGAATACCGCTCTCTCAAATTAGATCCCTCACTCTGATAAGCGTCCCCCTCTTTTCAGAAAGTTATTATTCCCCCCTCCTCCCCATTAGTCTTTCGGTGACCGTTTTCACTGGATATGTGTGAATGGGTGGTGAATCCGTTTTCAAATCCGGGGGGACTTCCAAAAGAGAACGCTGTCGGAAAATGAGAATTAAAGCCCCTAAGGAGACCAATCTGGGCATGGCTCAAGCTCTTTCACCTTGCACCTATCTGGTAGTCATGGTGACCGTTTGGGCGCCACGGACCCAGCAACATTTTTCCTCCTTTCAAGCTCAAGCTCTATTTGACCCCTAAGGACGACCATACTCCAACCTAATGTGAAGGCGTTGATTTCTCTTCATCTTTAGATATTTCTTTATGTACAACCCCTAGTGATACATTTTTATGGGAAAAATATTCGCTTTCCGTTTTACATTAACACTCAAGGAGAGACCAAAAACTCTACTTTCTACCTCTATTAAATGGAGACGATAATCATCCTCGTCACTATTAAGTTGGAGTATTTTCCCCGGGCTTTGAAATGAAAGATGATAGTACACGTTTTTGGCTTGCAGAGAAAGACCCTACAAAGAAAATTCAGCTGCTTGGATATGCCAAGAAACTTGCTCACAGACACGCATTCGAAAATGTATTTAGAAGAGTAATAATTCTATCTTTGGACAACGGAAAAGTTGGTGTCGAAATAAACCAGAAGGATATTCCTGAACTTGGTTCAGATGACTTGAAAGAGGATGGAATCATTAACGTAAACTATTTTGACGAAGAACCATTGTCTGATTCAGATGAAGAACAAGTAGCACAGCTAGAAGCGGATGGCGCAAATTAATTTACGCGTTACTTTCAGCGTGCAAGGGGAAAATTCCTGGCTGTTATTAATTCTGTGGATAAATAATTCCCCGACCCCTAAGACAGCAGAGAATTAAACATTAATCCATAGTTAAAATGAAGCCCCTTATTTTCTCGCTCCCGGGGTAAAATAGTCTGTTAAAAGGTACCTTAAGATACAGCGTTTCTGTCCACGGGTATATAGAAATGTTAGCCTTGATTTCCCAGATGTGACAATGGCATCACCGTTGTACCCGGTAGCCTACCCGTTTCTGCGGGGTAAGAGGCAATCTACCCGTATTTACGGCTACACGTACGGGTAATTCACCTGCACCCGCACCCGTACACGGGAACGGTGTATCTTAAGGTCTCTAACAGCCCCATGTGGCCCCGGCCAATAAATAGTGGAGCATCCGTACGACAGAGCTAAATAAAACACAAGTCAATGTCGGTTCTCAGGATCAGACTCACTTGGGACGTTTCGTTTCTTCTCCCCGCGAATTGTCTTTAGTGGGGAGGAGTGAGGAGATACGGCTGTATACGCAGGCTATCAGATTCATTGCAAACATCAAATCTTATACCTACTCAATTTTGGATGCTACACTGAAAATTAAAAAGATTTGTTTCAGCCCCTAACCGCCAATTCAGCCGTGTGGGCTAACGTCTGATTCAGCCCCTTCTGAAGCCATTTGAGCACAATTTAAGGGACGGACCATTAGAAAACTTATGGGGGGGGTGGGGGGGCGGGGGGCGAAGTACAAAAAAACAATTCACGCAAGGGAAAATTAAATGAAAAACAATTCTTGCACGCCAATTAATCCTAAAAAAAATATTCACGCTATAGCCTAAAAAAAAATCATACAAGGAATTTGATGACGAAAAAAAATTCCTGCGGCTCGAAAATTCCCCTCCCCCCCCGACCCATAACTTTTCTAATGGTCCGTCCCTAAGCCAAAACAGCTCAATCAAAAGGCTATTTTAGCCCACGATGGGGCCCATTTCAGCCCTTGGGTCTAAATCAGCCCTGGGTAATTGGACTGTATTGGCCCTGATTTAAGGGAGCCAAATTAGAATCAAAATAGGACTGTATTTTACTCACCAAAACGGGCCCATTTTTAGGGCTGACACAGATGCTTCTGATTTACAGTGATATTACTCAAGTACATAGATGTCTGTCTAAAGCGCACGGTTACTGAAGGAGCTTCCAACACAAACTACACCACATTTGCTTTTATCTTAGCCTGTTGGAACAGGCTACTTTTATCTTTGATGCTTACCGCGTTTCATAGCTAGTCTGCTCTTCTAACTATGGTCTGTCCAGCTGGCAATCTCGTTCCCAGGGTTCTCTCTTACTCGTCTGAAATTGTCCAGTTGGCACCGCAAAAAAACGCGTCTTTTGTGGTCAAAAAATACAATAGTGACGTCCACGCCCACAATGCGATCTTTCTGTTCTTTGGGTATTTTGATGGATTATATTAATTGGCAAACACAGAAAGACAAAAATGATCCACGCTACTACAATTGTTCTCAAACCCAGTTACCATATAGCCTACGGGCAAGCTCTCCCGCGGTGCGCCATTCCCCACCCCCGGGAGCCCCAGGCCAGGAGAGCTGTTGTTATAGCACATGATTCCAAAGGGGGATTCCCTATACATAGATCCTCTCGGATGGGTTACGCCCAATAGTATCTCACCTACACTGAGTCATTTCTGCCACATTGTCAGACGAAACGTGCAATATTTCAATAGTATGTACAGTGTATATAAATTTTCCGGAATAAAGTGAGCCGTCGCTTGAGGTTATCCAGTTCGACAGTTCTGTGTTGTCCAGAACTTGCAGTCCGTGAAGAAAACCGGTTTTACCAATACTAAACAAGGATTTCATCGAACAAATGTAACACTGTTCTCCGGGTAGAAATGAGTAGGAATATCTTCCTTGGTTTGTCCATGCCACTGGTCTCTTACTGCCATGCAAACATCTCGTACAGTGAAACCTCGATATAACGAAGTGCCAAGGGACTGGGGAAATTTGTTCGTTATCATCGAGGTTTCGTTACATCGAACACCTCGATTTTACTAAATTTGGAAAAATACAACCAACCAAGGGTAAGGGGAGGGGAGCCGCTTTAAAACAAAATTGCCAAATGAAAAGCGAAGTACTCCCTTTGCGTCCGCCATGTGCCCTCGACTTACGTCCAAAAGTAAGGGGGGTGGGGAGGCGCCCGGGCCCCTCTCCTGGATCCACCACTGCAGGCTTTTGTTGCTCCCTTCTTGTAAAGGTACAGGCTTGAGAAAGTAACGTTATGGCTAGCGGTTTACAAGAGAGAGTTAGGCTATTTTTACCCTATACCGCATAGCTTCTGCGCCGGCACGAAAACGCGGTTCAGATTTTAGCATGATTTCTGTAACGGAGCGAAGTTGCGGCCCGCTGATCTCTAAAGTGGAGAGTCACATATTGGATAGGTGTTGAATTTAGGTGTTCATACTATACTGGATAGCTTCTGCGCCGGCACGAAAACCATAGCGCATAGGGCTTGTGATCACACACAAGCACGGTTATTTTAGCACGATTTCTATAACGGAGCGAAGTTGAGCAGCGCTGATCTCTAAAGTGAAGAGTCACATATCGGATAGGTGTTCACACTATACTGGATAGTTTTTCATGTCGGCACAAATACGAGTAGTCCCCCATTTGTCCTCAGGGGTAGAAGAGAGAGCGAAACACGAGCGCGCGTGAAAATCACCCTTTTCTCGCGTGGGGTGATTTTCACGCACGCTCGTGTTTCGCTCTCTCTTCTACCCCTGAGGACAAATGGGGGACTACTCGTAGTCTAAAGGGTATGAGAATAGTCTGAACTATCGCACCGGAAGTTGTTATTAATCGACCGTAAAAATAAAATTGTACAACACATGAAAATGAAATTATAAAATAAGATCAAGAATTGTATGCAGGTCATGTAACGAGAGCAGCATTTGAAGACAAAAAGACTGGTTACACATATAAACATGGAAAATCTAACTGCAAAGTTTTCTCATCAAACTCGTTTGACGAACAGTCGTGGCTTTTACCTTCGTGTCACAGAGGACAATGTGGAAGGAGTCGAAGATGAAAACGATAAGTATAGTGAGTACGCAACGAAATTTTGTACAGTGCAGTCTTCATCAGGCTTCGGTACCTAACGTCATCTCATCAAAATTGACTACATTGTGAGACAAACGGTCATATCGAAATACCTTATTGCTACTAAATCCCCGCCAAAGCGAGGGCCAATGGCCCTCGAGCAGGTGAGGCTTTTTTAAAAAATCTGATCGCTCGAAGATCGTAAGTGGATAGCTTAGGGCAGTGAAATATCGGTTGGCGATATGTCAATTTAATGGGTTGGGGGACTCAGCTGACGACAGAAACAGACGGGCCGCACAGCAAAACTGCAGCAAACTAGGTTGTTTTTGCAACGCATACCCAATCGATAACAGTAGGAAAAACAAATCACTACGTGCCTCTGCGTCTCGAAACTGATATAAGAACAATGTTGGCAGGCACGGTTTTGCACGGGAAAGTTGCTTTTAATTTCTGAATTTATAAATATAGATTACTTCCCTACGAAAGTGGATCTTCTTGAGAAACTGAAATTTATTCTTCACCAATTGAAAATATTTGGGAAATATTTACTGTAGACCGTGGAATGCTTGTGCTTTTCTGATTTTTTATGTACATATTTATTTATTCATTCATTTTTCTGGATGTGATTTAATTCCTTGATCATGAGTCCTCCCTTTTTGTGACATGTTTGATGTTTCTAACATGCAGTGATTGCCCTGGGTCAGGAGCCTATTAGACTCTTGCCGGGGTGTGATAATTAAAGCTACTACATACAAGGACCATTGACAAAGTAGCACTGAATAGAGCGCCTTATCCCTTACTTTTACTGTTTCTGTTGTTGTTGTTGTTGTTTTTTCTTCTAATTAAGTTGCTTCAAAGGAAAACTATTATTATTATTATTATTATTATTATTATTATTATTATTATCGAGAACGCACGTTTTATCCAAATCGATTGCCTGGTTCCTCGAAAGGTGGTTACATTTAACCCAGGATTAAGTCAAATTTTAAGCACGGTTTTCTTGTTTAAAAATTAACATGCAACTCCAGTTACAAAATGCTGTTGGGCGTTCACTCCCAAGAACGGCAATGATAACACAATATGTTAATCTAAGCAGTACATAGGAAGGTAAAATACAAAAACGGAACAAAATTTTTATCTTAGATTAACGCTAATCGGCTTTTTGGGAATCTGTTTTTGTACATAAAATAAGAATTCGCTCTAGTGTGACCAGGGCCTTACTTGCCAATTTTTTAAATTTTCCGTTATGAATTACAGCCACCTTGGAAATCATATCAGTTGCAGATGGAGGAACCGCAATCCGAGGGGAGGCGTCTAATCGCTACATTGGAATGGCTGATGATGGTAAACTCGCTACTCGTGTAAGTATCAAATGCAGTCGAAACTCCGTATGCTTAGGCCGTCCACCGCTTTTGAGTACACCAAATTTTCATCCAGTCAAAGCTCTGAAGAGTAGTTATATTAATCCTTAATGGTAGGTGACAAGTGATGGCATTTAGCTAAAATTAAGTTAAGAAATTCTGCAGATCAGTTCTTTTCAATAAATAAATTCTCAGTTTTGTTTTTCATCGCGTTTTTGTTTGTCAAAATATGTGATAAAGCCAAAGTAAAGTTTTAGTACTTTTGTTAGTAATCGGACGATTATGTTAACTTATTAGGTATTCTTGATAACGTAACAGATATTAAATATAGTTTTACTAAAATAGCGTTAATAAATTGGATATGTCAAAAACCAGGTTAGATGGTTACTCGAAGAATGCTTTTCAGGGGCACCCAACGACAATTTTCGGAAAATATCTGTTCGGAAGACGATTTGAGATCTAGAATTTTCGGAACATTTGTTGTAAAATTTCTTACTTACCTCCTTTCCTAGGATTTTTCGAACATCTAAAAAATGGTATAATTGCCCATTTTTAACGGATTTTTACCCTTAAAAGGTCACCTAGAATTTTCGAGAGCCTTTTTTCCGGCTGAAATTTTCGAAAAGGTAAGTTTTGATCCCTATAATTTTCGGATCACTAGACTTTCAGCTAGGAAATTCGAACATATGGAAAATTTTTAGGGGATAAAAATATGCCTATATCTACCGTTTAAATACTAAAATACGTTTAACAATGCTATGTTTAAGTGGTTTTGAACTATACATTCTCGTTGGGTGCCCCTGGCTTTTCAAGAACAATTTGAGGCTGAAGTGAATGAAAACATGCCTTACTTGTTGTCGTAAAAAAGGACCTTAAAACAACGTTGTGATCTTTCAACAGAAGTCTTTAACGGAGGATTGCATATTCAGAGAACATCGTAGCTTTAATGGTTACAGCATGTTTGAATCCAGTTGCCATTCTGGGTGGTACCTTGCACTGAGTAAAGATGGCAGAGCGAAGCCTGGGCCTAAAACCGCTCCGGATCAAACAGCTGTACAGTTTTTAGAGGCAAATTTTGATGATCATGCGTCATGGCTACTTGGTCATTCTAAACCTTTGGTTTTCAAGGCACAAACCTTTCTGAAGACTGACTAGTACAAGGCAGTTTGAAACTCATTAGAAATGTAAGATCAGTCCTTTTAAAGCCAAATAGACCGAACAACACTAAACATTTGGCTTGCCACTCTAAAGTAGGAAAAAAGTCGACGAGGATACAAATTTGATCACTTGAAATAAACAGCTTTCTTTTCTACTTCTTGAAATTTTCAAAATGAAGTTGTAAAAAATAATTTTTTAAATGGAAAATAAGTACAGGTGTACATGTCCTGTTATTCCTATAATGCCGATTGTTTCATCGTTACCTTCAAAAATTGGTCCAAAAGAAATGTAGCTGTATACCTTTTTACTGTAATGAGGCAAAGCAAATAAAAGTGATGTGTAGTGTATTGATTACCATAGTAACGATTATGTACTATTACAAACATCAGTGAAACTACATGTACTAAGTGATATTAAAGTAATACAGCACGAATGTAAAAGTACGGATACTAAGTGAAAATAGATCATGATTTGTACTACAAAGATAGTGGTTCAGTAAATAAAGGACATTATGTAGAAAGCAATGAAAGTGTGAGTATCTCCTTGCCCCAGGACTACACCACATGGTGATGATGATGATGAGATGATGATGTTGTTGATGATGCAACCTCGTTCCCAGATTCCCTCTTACCCCTCGAGACCCCTTTTTTGTTTGTTTGTGTACATGTTCCATGCTCCAAGATGCCGGAAAGCGGGTCGAAGAGCGAACGAAATCTCGCTTTCAGCGTTTTTCGCTCGTCGCCTAGCACAGGTTACCAGGCAATTACCAGGCCCGGTTACCAGGCAAGCAAAGCATCCATCCGTACGCTCACAAAAATTGTAAAGCAAGTCAGGAGAACATTATAGTGCCTTTGCAAAATTGTATTGCTGTCTATCATGATAGCGAAACACCTTCAAAGTGAACTGGAAGTTATGTACAAAAAGTCTGACCCCTCTTGGAATCCATTTTCACACTGACGTTAAATTCTTTTTCCTGGTTCAGCGGAATGGAAGGGGAAGATGCCGGGTTCAAGACTGATGTAAGTAAAATTTGAAAGATGATTTAGAATGCTTTGCGATATACTGGGCTATTGCCTATAATAGCTGTACCCCCCCCGCCCACCCCGGTTGTGAGGAGGTGCCTTTTCTTCTCACCCCTGAGACCCCTGAAGACTGAATAAAATTGCATTCACCCCTGAAGACTTCCATCATTGATCATTCTCCTGAAACGTGGGTCTACCCCTGAAAAATATGGTTCTACCACTGAAGAATTTCATGAAAATTAAAGCTTCACCCCAAAGAATAGCATTTGTTTACTCTACGTCCGTTAAGAAATCCTCAAGTTATTTTTATAATTTTTGCATACCCCTGAAGGAATTCCACTGTCCTCAACTGGGTGGGGGTACAGATATTAAAATTTCATGCAATAGCCCATTTAATTCCCAGAAGTATATACCTTATTTTCTCGATTTAACGCCTTGCCCCAAATAAACGCAGGGTCTTGGAGGGGAAGTTGTGGATACCCCCTGCCCGAGACGCTTATATGTGGTATGCTTAACTAATGCTATAAAGGCAAAATACACGGCTGTCAAGAAAAAGGCATAAAAACTTTTCTTTAGTAACAGTAAGCCCGAATAAAGTGCAAATTCAAACAAACGCCAGTCCTCAAGGCCAAGTTTGAATTAACACTGGGGGCGTTTAATTGAGAAAATACCGTACTTACAAAACTTTTTTTTTATTATTTTGTTGATGATTATTTTACCTTTTCTATGTACAGTATCTTAACTTACACTGTCGCTACTTATAGCTTTATTGAGCTAAATACATTTTGAAAATGAGAAAAGTGCATAAATGCTCTTACTGGTACATTATTGTCACATATGCATAAAAAAATGGAATTGAATAATGACAAAGTAACATGAAATGATATACCATTTCTTTATTTATAAACACCGATGAAATACTATGTTAGCTTCTGTGCAAACGCATAATGTCTTTATATGTGAAAATAACATGAGACTGTATGTTTCCAGAAAACATCCCTACCACACCAACCACAGCTGCCATTTTTGAACTCCGAGGGAAGTGGGGGTGAGGGGTTCTTCAAAGAGGAAATGTGAAGTCTTTTCGGGGGATACTTCACTATTGGTCAGGTAGCCTGCATTGTTATGAAGTTGATAATTCACTAAAGCTACCTGACTGGCTCATGAGCCTTAATTGGCCCTACAAAATACTGGGATTCGATAATTCATGAGGGTTAATAATTTCCATAATTTTCATGAGTTTAGCAGAGTTTATGAGAGCCTTTCACGAATCCATTTGAACTTCTTGTGCGGTTTTTAATGTCAGTCTTGCAGAGTGTTGCAGTTCTCACAGTTTAGTCAAGGGCCTTTCATAAACCATTTATTAACACCCATCACCTTACGAAATTTTGTGATTCTTGTAAGTTTTCTCAGGTTTTTGCGATTTTGCTAAGGTTCTTCTACAAAACATTTGCATATTCCTACTATTTTTTGCCTAGGCCTCATAACATTTCGTCATTCTTTAACATAAGCTCTAAATTTCTTTGTAATTATTGATTTTGTTACTGGCCTTGAAAAATTTCAAACTTTCAAAGTTTTTTTAAATTTTTTTATAAAACATATTTTTGCTAATATGGTACCATAATGTTTTTCTAGGAAGGTTTTAATGACAATGACCACAAGATATGGCATAGTATTCTGTAACCATAGCAACGGATTATCAAATTTTTCCTGGTAAAAATTCCACTGCTCTCTGACCTGGAGCAGTTTTAGGCCCAGGCTTTGCTCTGCCATCATTTCTCAGTGCCAGATACCACCCGGTATGGAGCCTGGATTCAAATGACATGTAGCCATTGTTGTGTAGATGTTCTTTAAACACACAGTCCTCCATCAGAGAATTCTGGTAGACACAGATAGATGAGAAAAATTGTCATTAGCCATTATTATAGTGATCTATGTCTCAAGCACTGATACGTGAAGTCAAGGCTCATGCATTCTTTTGCACAAACCCCAGGGGCAGTGAACTGAGTTTTATACAGGGAGGCTTTGCCCAGAGGTCCATGAACCCTTACTCTTTTATAAGCCATTTCTGACAGAAAATGTACCTCTTTCATATACCTTCCTTTTACAAATGGTATCACCTTAACATACCTAGTTTAGAACTTAGCATCCATTTTACCTGACTGTAAATGCACATATGAATAATCAGAAAACCTGGTGATTTTCTCAACTTTTTCACAGCTGTAAAATCACATTTTGTTAGCCCTTTAAGATACTTTTACCGACCCAAATGACCGATTTCCCTATCTTTCCATATACTTCAACTAGTGAAATCCCTACCTTTTCATATACTTGAAGCCTGAAAAAAGGTACCCCTTTTGGGCACACCCGTCTCTGTATAGGTCATTAAAGGGATTACACCCCCCCTCCCCCCATGAACGAAAGATAACAGCTTTTTTTCTGTAATGTTGACGCTTCTAACAGTCCTCTAAGTAAAAGTCACTGAAATATTTCCATTCAAAAACAGCAATTTATTTCATACCAATTACTTCATCAGGGTTGAACTTAAGTGGCCATGTACATTGTGAATTCACCATAATAATACTAAAAAAACTATAAATGTAGTACGAATGGTTTATTGAAAATAAAATCAACTGAAGCACCTGTATAATTACGTTTAGCTCGCCTTATTTAGATTTTCCACGGCCAGACACGAGCTAATTTTATGACCATTGAAAAGATATCAACAAGCAAAAAGTGCCACATGACCTGATTTTCCTAAATCATGTATGAAATGAACCATTCTGGCCAGCAGGTTCATGTGAGAGGTAGTTAAAAGATGTCACCAAAATACTGTCTTTAGTGTCTAACATATGACATTTCATCAACCCAATATAATTTCTTTTATTTCCTAATCTTGGTGTTCAGGGCCTAGTGCCAATATTTTTGCCTATATTTTGCCACTTCTGTTACATGCAGTCTTGCTAGACTTTTTCGGTTAATGTAAAGTTCGACATTTACCCTCCATACAAATCACTTCAAAACTGGCAGAAAAGTTTTACCACCATCAATCATTTCTCTGAAATACGATTAAGGAACGGTTAAGAGAAAATTTCTTGTCATGAAAGGTCTTCCTTTGTTGTGTATTACTGGGGGATGACTTTTAAGATAATAAAGCTAAGTCCTCTATTCTTGGTGGCGAGATGGTTTGGTGGCGAGGTGACCAGACCACCCCGCCGCCAGGTACGGGGGCTAGCCATTCCTAGTAACGAACAGGGCTGGGTTGTTGGAAAGGTGGATGACACTATCCAGTGGACAAATCTCTATCCAGTGGACAGCGCTATTCGTTTCCCTAATACTTATCTGCTGGATAGTGGATATGCAACTGGCGCCAGTTGGTTACTTACGTAAGCTATCAGGTTTCCATTGTTATCCATTCCAATGTATCTGTTAGCTGACTCTCCACGTAAAACAATTTCACCTGGAGCAACTGACATCATTTCAAGTATGGCTAAAATTGAGGAATTGTCTTTTAATCATTATTTTTTTTGGAAACATCCTTTTATTACGTGCCAGATTATTGCAGATAACCCGCTCAATGGGCATAAACGCCCACACTCATCACATGCTACTCCCCACACGTGTTCAAACAGAATGAAGCCACTACACGCTGCGTTTTCTCCAGATAGAAGGCAATTTTACAGTATGCCCGATCCTTGAAAATTCATTCCAAAATTTCTTGATAACTCTCTGATGAATATGCTGATACTTTGCGAACATCGAGGCGGCTATTGGAGTTACAAGTTCTCGCGAATGATTTTGATAAAAACGTCACAGTGTCAAGAATTTAGACTGCAAGTTAAATTGGTAAGAATGTCATTATGTTGCTATGGCAACTGTTAATTTAACACAAATCATAGCAAATTTTCATCTTCTTCTTATACAGCTTTGGTGACCATTTGCTACCGTTTTTCACTATTTTTGTTGATAGTGATGTGGTTAAATAAGTATTGCCCCTTAAAATTCAACTGAACCACCTTACCAAAATTATAAAAATTGAATAGGAATGCCTTGAATAGGCGTTGTCCTTTGAGTGGCTACCCCCTGTGTTGAAAGTTTTTGTGTTGATTATGATATATTTTTGTTTAGCAAACAGTGTTAGACAATTTTCACCAAAAAATAAAGCTGGCGTGAGATTTCGTGCTGCTATCAGTCCTAAGAAGATTTAAAAGTCAGTGCTCTTGTTTGAATTAAATGTATCAAAAAGCAACAAGATTGAGACGGCCTGTTGTGAAAAATTTCTGCCGGTCACTGCAAAACAACCCGGCCCGAGGGCTAATTCCGTCCATAATTGATCTCAATGTTTGTTTGCTTGTAAGACAAATTAATATGTACTTACTATAAGCATCGCCTGTTACACTTTCACTACCATTCACTGCGTTATCCGTTACTCGCAAGGCCAAGCCATGGCGGGAAATTAAGGTTGTTTTACGTACAGCGTTTGTTACAACTTGTTGAGAAGTCATAATGCTTTATTCAGTGCTTGTCGAAGCGCTGTACCTGCTTACAGTGCCTTCAAAAGTGAATACAAAACCTCTGCGGGATCCAGCTTATAATGGATTCTTAAAAGAAGGCTTCTTTTTCAAATCATCCTTTCTCAACTGGTCTGTTGCCCTTAAAACGAAAAACTAAGACATTCCACGGAAATATCTCGAAGAGTTTGTAGGCAGTTGGTGGAGGTTACAAAAACCTAGTCTGCAATCGCTTCAATTATTTCAGCAACCACGACACAATAGCCTTTTCTGTTTATGAGTGTATTTGCATTGCTTATTGGCGACTCATGCATATAAAGGCGTTTTGAATGTAAAGATTTAAGAGTACAAGGGACCCAACAGACTGCAAGGTGGCCGTCACATGATCAGTTATTAAACATGGCATAATTTCCAACGGGAATTCTTGATGTCCCGTTTCTCCGGTTGTTTTCCTTGCTCATTTTGTTTACTCGCAAGTCTGTAAGGAAAAGAAAAATGAAAAGGCCTCATTGTAATCAACAAAACGTTTGTTAAACAAACAGCAGGGGAAACTTCATTGTTTATCCACTCTGGAGAGAAAAAGAATTGTTTTAAGCTAAAGCAACAATTGATTTATTTTTGCTGAGCGAACAGTCTCGAAAAGGTCCTTAGATTATTGCTGAAGTGATGAAAAGTTGTTGAAAGCTTGCTAACAACCTGATAAAAATATAATGAAACTCATAAACTGCTGCAATCTTCCGCTGTTCCCCAAACAGAGAGCCTGTTCACAGGCTAGAACGAAACAAGCAGCTTAGTCGTTGTTCCATAAGTACTGGATCGTTATATGGAAGCGTAAAGTTGGAACTTTTAAGGTTCAAATACGCCGATCAACGTGTTGAACGTTGTTCACAAACGCAGTTAAACGAAAGAGATATGCGTTCTATCCCATTCAACCAGTTGCCTCTTGTTGAACGGCGCTAACCAATCGTTTTCCAGTCTCAAGTTCATATGACTTGAAAGGGATTCGGGTTGGTGTCTGCTGCTGGTGACTCTGTTTATAGTCATTCAATAAGTCGCAACACTGTTATTTTAAAAAGAAACTGCAACATTAAGTAACACTCGTTTAGCAAAAAATATTACACGATATTGATCCGTGTGTCGACAATTACGAGAGCTAAATATGTATCTTTGTGTGTATTATGTCTGTTTTCAAATTGTTTTTTTAATGGACTCATGTAAACATCTGAGACTACGTGCCCAATTAAGAACAATTGATTTTAACACCAGCTGCAACTTTCTGTGGTTTAAAGCGAATTTATTCAGATAAAAACTTTTTGCATTCGTGTTAACATTTTAGCTTCCTGTCGGAATCCTGCTGTTTCTTTTCTCATTTGAATTGAAAAGTGGCTTTTTTGATTAACAGTGGAAAAACAAAAGCATGCCTCTTGGCGCGATGGGAAACCTTTGCCAAGTATAAATATAGAGAAGAGAAGAAAGGAAAAAGAAAGGAAAAGACATGGAGAACGTGTAGTTATATGGAAGAAAAGTTTATTTATATTTCGGTTTGATTAAAAAAAATCTCAGAGAAAACAGCCAGAGTCTCTTTTATAAACAATTGCTCAGTAATGAGAGAACTTTTATCTTGAAAATTGATGTTACAGATAACTCTAAAAATTTTCGTTTAATTATTCTTTCCCGCAAAAACGTCAACATGGTGGCAGAGAATTGACTCGGGTATTTGCATATTACAATATTTCATATTCAAACCTCGATTCTGTTTGTCAGTTGTCAAAATTCAATGGCACAACGCCATAAAAGATCCGTGCATTTCGGAATCATTATGTATCTTTTACTCGATATTGTGATTAAATATCAGACTTATAAAAGGAGCACTTAAGGGCTTTCAGTGTTCCGCTTTATATAGTCTCTGATGCATGCCAGATACTACAGAACGCCAAATTTTCAAGCACATTAAGAAAAAAAATTGGACACCTGCCTTCGAATATAGCTTTCTGTCAATAAAGAAAAAACGACGAATAAAAACTATCCATCCTTCTAAATTGTCCATGTACGCTTCCAAGTCGTCTCATAAGCGTCTGAAAACCACAGAGCAGAGTCCTAAAATTGAATCTTGAACGGCATTTATCTGTTTATTAATAACCGGTCAAATGGAGCAATTTACATGGACCGGTTGAATAAAATACGTGTTTTAAATCTTGTTGCCTCGCTCTCTGCATGGCAGTAGCAAATATTAAAAATTACTGTGAAATTATTATTCACACAAAAACTTCTTTTTCGTCGGAATAACCGCCTGATTTCAACATTAACGTTTCTTGAAGCTCGTAACTACCTTCACCCCTCTTCTTTAGGCGATAAACCAAAAATACGACCAATATGACAGCACATGCTGCGCCAGCCAGTAGAGCCACCAGGATTTCAATGGTTACAAAACCGAACAAAGTCTTCTTTCTCGGCGAAGGATCTTCGCGATTCGCTACGTCATTACCTTCCTTTGTGGTTGTTTCAGTTGTCTTGGTCGATCTTGAAGTCGGCTCTATGAAACTGAAACTCGACGAAGTGCTCACCACAACGCTTGAAGCTCTAGTGACTCGTGTCACCAAAACGGATGCACCAAAAGACGTTTCCATGCTCGTAAAAACGTTCGTGTGGCTCTTGGTTTTTGTATCAGAACTGCCATGAATAGTAGACAAAGACGGTGTTGAAAAGTCTGATTTGCTCGCGCTAACATCGTGTAAAACACTCGTAGAAACAATAACATTAAATGTCGTAATGTCCATTAGAGGAGTCGAACTAGCAATCGCTGTAGAATTAAGCGATACTATTTTGTCCAGCGAGCGCGTAGAAATGTCCGATGTTATTGTACTGACGAATACCGTACCGAGGCTTGAACTGTTCAAATGTTGTTTACCGCCGCCTCCAACTGCCCTTTTTACTCGCTCGCCATCCTCGTCATCGATGGTATAGGATTCCGTTTCGCCCTTATCATATTTATTCTCTCTTCTCTCGACCTGTTTATGGTAACTCGATACATCGAACACATCATCTTCATTTAAAATGAAAGCCTTTCTCTCTTGTTCGCTTCCTTTGTCGACGTTTTCCACAAGCGCCGGATCGCTGGCTCCAATTGGAGCAATTTTGCAATCGAAACAGCCATATATCACCAGAATACAAACGACAGATTTGAAGGGCTTCATGAAAAATGTCATTTTGATTCGGTGATGCTTGAACGAGTGATAGAAATGTTAATTCATCTCCTGTATCTGTCCACGGTTCGCGCCTCGCGTCTTGGCTTGCCTTTGCCAAGCTCAATGCTTGAATTCCTGCGAAATTTCCTTCACACCTTGTAGTATTTAATTTCCTTGCCCTCTGTGGTGCGAAACTTGTCTTTCTCCAACCGATTTGCACTTCTTTAATTCCTCTCTACGCACACTGTACGCATGTTTTCATTTTGCGGTCTCGCCGTATTCCGCAATGCAAAAAGGAAGTCTGAACAGTGCGAAACACAATAGTCACGGCTGAAAGTTCGCACAATGAAAGGAATATTCAGTTACGTGGACTAGACAATGAGTAAACTGAATTTATTATTTCACTGTTATTACAATGACAGGTATTTCGTGCAAACACCATACAGGCGGGCGAATGGGCTGATTAATTCTTTTTATGCTAATTAAATTGTACTTTAGTTTTTAGCGGACTTGACCTCCAATCTTTCATCAGCGTTCATAATGTTTATTTTCATTCTCTAAACCTCTTTGAACTGGCTAAAATCATTAAACTGGCTAAAAACAGATTTAAAGCCGATTTAAAGTCATAAATAAACATTGACGCTCTAAAATTTTAAATTTGCGTTTTTGTTGATAACATCTGCAATGCAGTATTAAAAGCGTTCTAAAAATTGTCTGTAGGTCTCACGGATAACCTTAGATAATAAATACTCAGGTTATGCCAACATAAAATCACTTTTGGGCTGTAACAGCGGTTCAGTTATCTGCCAGGCATTTTAAATGAAATTGGAAAAAGAAATTCATTTTTGTTCCTCTGCCTGTTTCAAGTGAATTTAATTTATCAGTCTTTAAATAATAATCTTAGGCGTCTTCGAAAACTCCATCACAATGTTTTGTAAATAATTAATGCCATAATTTGTTTGGGGTATGTTCTCACCGTTTGATTTTGTGTAATGCTTTGTAGCATATTTTAATCGTATAGTTTTCCTTTGTTCCAATGCCCCTCTTTTGAACGTCATCTTTTGAGGAAGTCAACCCATTCTTTATGCGCTCAATCTCTAAATATGGATACCCTTCGATGTTTGTCAAGTAAAAAGCACCTGTCTTCAAGACTTTGACACAACAAATTTGGCCTAAAATGTAAATAAAGACCCTTACATACATAATCCATCCCTTATCTCAACAGTGGTTCGCAAGAAAGTGCTATTCTCTGGCGTGTAAGTTCCTGTGACGTTGGCTTTACATGGAAATAATTTCGGCGAGTAGAAATAGTATAGAGCGGTTTTCATTTGAGTGTCGAAAAGTAATTGGTTTTGCACTTTCTACACGATGCGATTGGCTTAAAAGATTCGCGCCACCTTTTCATCCAATCAGAAGTAAAAACAAAGCCAATTGTGACGCGCCCGAATGCATTTTCCCGCGCTTTGCGTCAGCCACATGTAATTACTTCGAGTTTTGATTGGTTCAATGTATTGTCTGTGTCCTATGTGATTGGCCAGAGTAATTACTTTGGTTTTGGTCAAACGAAAACCACTCTAAATAGTATTTTCGATAAGACTAACGGACCCTAGTCATTCGAAAGTGCCCCCCCCCTCCAAAAAAAAAAAATCACTTGCCAATCGGGCAAGTTAAGAACAGCTGACAGCAAAATCTAGCACCCTTAAACTTCTAAGTCAGTCTTATTGAGAAAAAATTAATACAACTACCATGCCTTTGAATTTCTCGGGATTTTAACTCGCTATAAAAATTTAGATTGTATACAGTCGACTCTCTCTTAACTGACACCTCTGTAAGACAGACACCTCTGTAAAACGGACACCTGGAGTTGGTCCCTGCCTTTCTTCCTGCCTCTATTTGACTCTCTATAAGACAGACATCTCTCTAAGACGGACAGCTAGTGTCGGTCCCAAAGGTGTCCGTCTTTGAGAGAGTTGACTGTATCCTATTTTTTTTTTTCAGGAGACCCTCTGGTACAGTGTAGATAAAGTATCAGCTAGTGCTAAAATACTCGAAAGCGCCAGCAGGGAAGTACTCGAGGCATCATTCATAATGCTCGAAAACGAAACCCACCAAATCGAAAAAGGCGCATCGGCTGCGAGGGAGACTAGCATGCGGATGAAACTGATGTAACCCGGCTCATACGCGTGGCCTATGCGTTCGAATCACGTGTCACGTGGTCCGGCCGTTCGTCTCGGTTACGTCACCGAAGAATGCATTGCTCGAGAAGGCCCGGGAAGACGCTTTGCAGAGACTGCGTAAATGTTACCCCAAAGCGAACTAACTCGCACTAACTAAATGAGGTGCGAAAATAGCATAAGCCTAATCGGTTTTGTCTTCGTTATTTTCTTGTTATGTTACGTTTGATTAGTAGAGTTACTGTAAGTTCAAGTTTTTTTAAAACCTTTTGTTCTTTTTACTTAAACCTGGAGCCCATGGGCTCCTGCTTTTAAAAACTCTTGGCATTTACGTTTACTTTCAATGGTGAACATTTTACAAGTTAATTTCGCAGACCCTCCCTGAACGGTTTGAATCTCCAGGTTACCAGAAAGGCGTGTGCGTCAGTGATGTTTTACTTGTTTCTTACCACGGAATGGCACAATGAACCCGGCACTGAAATGACGTTTCTTTTACCCACCCTTTGGTTTTGCACTGTTGCGGAATTCTTTTAACCCCGCTCCGCTGGTTCAAACAAATCAAGAGGACTGGAGTCTTTCGATGTAACAACACGATTTAATGCAATCCAACAATCTCCTGCGATGTACAATTCTCACATATTCAACGTTCGTAACACTACGATCAACTGTCAACGTAACTAAACGATCAACGATCAACTAAAACATTCTAAGTATACAGTGGTTTTTCTACTATCCTTGCGTAAGGCAGTATTTTTACATTAATCACATGTACAGTAAAAGTTCCCTTTGTAGTGTATCTAAATTAAGTGACTATTACAGAATCGCATGTTCTTTCACCTTATTTAGCCTAAGAAAATGCATTGCAGTTACATCATTTTATATCGTAAATATACTCAGACTTTGTCTACATTATTGTGAAATCTAATGTCACGAAATCTAACTTCTTGGCGCTACAAATGTCAATTTCTTATTAATATTTAATCACAAAGTAATAAAGTTAAGAATCACCTATTTCTTTCCCCACATGCACTTTTTTCTCGTGCTACCGTAGACTGCGAGCATTCTCTTATTTTCTTCAAAGTCACTGGAAAAGCATTTTTAGTGCCTACGCGCTCACTCCGTCTGAGAACTCGACGGATCTAAGAGAAAAGGTGGATTGCTAGCAGTCTCGTGCTACTGGGTATAAAAGGAGAAAACATAAAATATGTCATGACGTTATTGTTTTCTCAACCGACAGGTTACTTGATAATGTATTACTATGGAGAATTATCTCAAATTTCGCTTCATTCACGTGCATATGTACGCATAGTTGATAAAAAGATTGAGGAAAACTTTCTTGATGCCGTCTCTTGACCCGCACTAGGAAAAAAAAATGTACAGCCTAGAGAGATGTTTATATAATGGCATTGCCTAGTACCAAGATAGGGCCGTCCACCGGTATGGAGTTTATCAATTCGTCCCATAATCCAAGCACAAATGTCCAGTGCTGGCCACAAGATCCATACTTTCTTTTTTCATCCTTAGTTCCACACTTCTCAGAGGTCTGGAAGTGTGGAAAAGTCTGACAAAGTAAGGATATTGTCGCACTTTTCCCCCTGTTAAGAACCCCTTGTCATTCTTTACTTAGTTCTACACTTCTCAGAGGTGTGGAAGTGTGGAAAAGTCTGACAAAGTAAGGATATTGTCGCACTTTTCCCCCTGTTAAGAACCCCTTGTAATTCGTTACTTAGGTCCACACTTCTCAGAGGTGTGGAAGTGTGGAAAAGTCTGACAAAGTAAGGATAATGTCACACTTTTCCCCAGTCATGAACCCTTTGTCATTCAAGACAGTCTTGGATTCTGGAGTCCACGCTGTGGATTCCGGATTCCAGGTACTGCATTCCGGATTTTTTTTCAGTTGAACCTTGGAGTGCGGATTCCAATCGTTAGAGGGATGCTGCATGTTCCGTAATTATAAGCTGTATTCCGGATTTCAAAGCCCAGGGTTTCAGATTCCAGAGCAAAAATGGCTTGAATTCCGAGAGCTAAAATTTCCCGAAGATTCCTTCACATGAGCGAATCAGAAGGTGTAACGGCTACGCTATACAGCCAACTCTCGCCTCGCGGACACCCCGCTGTAACGGACACTCCAATAATACAGACAGGAGCTAAATCCCGGGCGAAAACAAATTACAGTCAACTCCCTTTATTGCGGACTCTGTAGGGACCTTGAGTTAGTGTCCTCATTAGCGAGAGTCCGTAATAGCGAGAGTCTATTTCATGATCAGCCAAACGGCTGCAATTTGTTTTTGTCGGGGATTTAGCTGCTGTCCGTATTATTGGGGTGTTCATTATAGCGGGGTGTCCGTAAGGTGAGAGTTGGCTGTAGAGACGTTTGACTGAAATAAACTCTAGCTATTACGGACTCTCGCTAATGAGGACACTAACTCGAGGTCCCCATAGTGTCCGCAATAAAAGGAGTTGACTGGAGTAACTGACCTTACATGGGGTGGCTGGCGGGAATGGGAAGATCCTTGACTCTAGCATGCAACGCCCGAGTGAGCGGCGAAGCCGGGAAAGGGAAAAGTAGCCCTCTTTTTCTTTTCCCACTCCTCGCTGTCGTGTCTCCTTCGCGTAACCTCTCACGATATCTTCAAATAGAGAACTTCACGAGTTTACTCTAACTAGCCAGCATGGCCTTTTTTTTCCCCTCCTTTGCTTTAGGACGATTGCCAGTCAACTAATCTACCCTCTCCCTTTCACCTCTCTGCAGCAATGGTTCATTTTTGCGTCTCAGTTCCCGCTCCTTGTCGCTTACGGGATCACCTCTTTGCACAACTGATCTTAATCTGGAGCGTTTAGGAGTAG